TTCTCAAGTTGTCCTTAAGTAGATTTCTAAGAAATCCCTACGTGGGATTCATCAACGCACTCGTAAGCCGCTGAATTGTTCGCAGCTGTTCTCTCAGATTGATGAATCCCATTTCCTCGTAAGTACAGCGCGCGTGCCAGGTGCTTCATTAGCATAGGTACTTAGCATAAGTAACCGCCCATTAATGCCCATATAAGGGACTGCAGGGCCGTGTGCAGACGGCTGAGGAAACAGCAACAGGCCTAAGCAGGCCTTTTTTCTTCTTTTACCAGACTGAGAATAAAGTTATAAAATGTTGACTTAAAAGTCGAAATATTATGATAATAAAGTCGAACTAGCAAAATTATGAGATTAATCTAAGTATATGATGAGATTAATCTCAAAATTTTATGAGCTTAATTTAAAAATATATTATGTATTATTTTAAAGATGAATCTCAAAATGTTTTGAGATTAATCTCAAAATATTTTGGACCCTGGGAGGAGATCCAGCGCGGACCAGCGCTGAGACCAATGCAGACCCGAGGAGAGACTGGAGTGTCCAGCACACAGAAACCAGCGCGGACCTATAGGAGAGACCGCATAGACTGGAGTGACCTGACTGGAGAGACCGGTGCGCAGAGACCAGCGCGGACCGAAGATAGACCGCATAGACCAGACTTGAGAGACCAGCGCGGACCCGTATGGATCCAGGAGCATGAAGCACGGACCCGTATGGAGAGACCAGTGCAGACCCGTATATGGGAGAGACCAGTGCAGACCCGTATAGATCCATGGGAGAGACCAGTGCAGACCCGTATAGATCCATGGGAGAGACCAGTGCAGACCTGTCTAGATCCATGGGAGAGACCAGTGCAGACCCGTATAGATCCATGGGAGAGACCAGTGCAGACCCGTATAGATCCATGGGAGAGACCAGTGCAGACCTGTCTAGATCCATGGGAGAGACCAGTGCAGACCCGTATAGATCCATAGGAGAGACCAGCGCAGAGACTCAGCGCGGACCCAGTAACCTCCTGCAGCAGCAGTATATATGCCGTTGTTCTGTGGCCCGTGGATAAAGAAATGCCCCCTATAAATAGGAAGGGGTCACTAATACACGGCAAGATTTCCAATGTATTTGATAAAGCGTTGGCACATTTCATTTCAAAATGAATTAAAAAGTAGGCCAGATCTGCAGTGAAAAAGGCGGTATATAAATAAAGATTACTAATAAAGATTACTACAAATAAATAAATACGACGGACATATCACTGGAATGTTGTATTTTTATTCAACTTCACCAAAGAGGACAACCCCGGCGTGTGAACATGTCGGCACTGAATGCGTACGAGTGCTCCTGAGGACTCGTAGGATTTGTACTTGCCCAAGAGAAATTCTGGTTACGAGAAATATTCGTGAATGCCACTTTCTTCGTAAAAACCGCGTAAGTAGGATTTACGTACAAATCTGTTCCTAAGAACCGTTCGTGAATGAGGCCCAATGATCCCTGCTTTTGACCCATCTTGGCCCACTATGGCTGTCCCTATTCTCCTTACTATGCCCTCACTAGTCCAAGTCAAGCTAGTTAATACACAATTAACCCTTAACCTTGCTAGTTAAAGTCAAGCCAGTGAAAACATCTGTAAACAGGAAAACAGGAACCATTTAACTCTTAAAACTCACTAGTTAAAGTCAAGCCAGTTAATACACGATTAACTCTTAAAACTTACTAGTTAAAGTCAAGCCAGTGAAAACATCTGTAAACAGGAAAACAGGAAACATTTAACTCTTAAAACTCACTAGTTAAAGTGAAGCCAGTTAATACACGATTAACTCTTAAAACTTACTAGTTAAAGTCAAGCCAGTTAAAACATCTGTAAACAGGAAAACAGGAACCATTTAACTCTTAAAACTCACTAGTTAAAGTCAAGCCAGTTAATACACGATTAACTCTTAAAACTTACTAGTTAAAGTCAAGCCGTTTAAAACATCTGTAAACAGGAAAACAAGAACCATTTAACTCTTAAAACTCACTAGTTAAAGTCAAGCCAGTTAATACACGATTAACTCTTAAAACTTACTAGTTAAAGTCAAGCCAGTTAAAACATCTGTAAACAGGAAAACAGGAACCATTTAACTCTTAAAATCACTAGTTAAAGTCAAGCCAGTTAATACACAATTAACTCTTAAAACTTACTAGTTAAAGTCAAGCCAGTTAAAACATCTGTAAACAGGAAAACAGGAACCATTTAACTCTTAAAACTCACTAGTTAAAGTCAAGCCAGTTAATACACGATTAACTCTTAAAACTTACTAGTTAAAGTCAAGCCAGTTAAAACATCTGTAAACAGGAAAACATCTGACTCTGAGAACAGGACAGCCAAGGCATCTCGCTGGGTGAAAATGGGGCTTTTAGTTTTGCGCGGAAAGATAAAATACGGGGTTCGTTTGACAGTTTGAAAGAATACAGCTCTTACCACACTGGTTGTTTACGTTTGTCCGTTTGATAACCATGCGCTGGACGGCATCGCCTCGGCCCGGCGCCAGGAATCTTCTGTATCTCAAACACGCGAGGAGAAGACCATGCCAGAGGCTGGGGAGGCCACCCTTCCTGGGCCGGGTCCGCGACGAAGCCCCTCCAGACGATGGGACTGTTCGTTGACGCCAAATTGTTGTAGAAATTCTGCACATAACAAGAGTAAAATAATGTAAACAACCCAGAGCCGTAATTCCAAACAAAGTGTGAGTTTATTCATTAGTAAATGTGCACAATTACAATGAATAACAGAACCGATACCAATACCACCGGGCAGCCGTCCGAAATCGACTGCCCCGATTGAGGAAATGACTGTACATTAAATAGACCAGAGTAAACAAACACATATCTACTCTAGATATTACATAAATGAAGTCAACATTGATATGTGTTGCTCAAGGCTTCTCTTTACGCCTCCTAACGCTGATACAACTCTGATATATGTAACAATCTGCTTTTGAACTGAACATATTGTTCTATGACCCAGGTCAAAGACATGATGCAGCACGTCTCCATCTATCACTGACCTGCTGCCAACAGAGCATTATGGCCTGTATCTGAATCCAGAGTTGACTATTAGTTAATAACTTACACTCATAACTATTAGGTGTTAATTCAGATTGCTTTACTAAAATATTTCTATAACATAGCCTTTACTTTGTCATTTAGATATTAGTGTAATATAGCTAATATAGCTAATGTAGCTAAGGTAAAGTAGCTAATGTAGCTAATGTAGCTAATACAGCTTCAGACCCTGTTACCTTCATATAAGGCTTATACAACGCTGTTTTTTTTTTTTGTCAAATATGGCTCCTTGAACCTTTTGAGTTGCCTGGGCCGCTAAAAAGGAAAAAATGCCCGGGCCGTTTTTTTGTCCCAGTCCAGCCCTGGTCATAGTGCATACAAAGGGAGAGGTGAATCTGTCTGTACTCTGATAGAAGTAACATCAACATAGTGCTAACCTTTTTTGCAGCTGCACAAAAATATGCATCATCCCTAATTCATGATACTGCTTATTTCACGTCATTCTGAATTCATTCCCATTTTATTTATGTCCAATAACTTGTCTACTGGCCATATCTTTATGTAGACATTTTCCCTGTGCACAAAAGCATCCTCAAAGAAAGAACGCATACCCTGTGAACTTTCCCCATGTCTACATACTTTTGCAGAAACTTTTGATTGGGCACTGATCAAACAGCGAGGTGCGAGGACTTCCATAGTCCAGTGCCAAGCTGTGTAAATATGCAGAAGAGCAGTAGAAGCATCGTTGCACCGCCTGCCCAAGGGAACGCTGCTTATCCGCTCTCTTTACGCAAACATGATGGGAACGGTTTAACCACAGATCGCCCGCAGACACGGAATACCAATGGGCTAACTTTGACTTCTACATAGATGCATGCACTGTGGCTTCCCAACAGCACCGCTAACATATGCATAGGGTAGCACAGAGAAGAGACATTTTTTGGCCAGAGAGCACGTTTGCTAATGCACGCAAATGGCGAGGCCAGGGGTGTTGATGGATAGCTTGTGAAGGTGCTCTCCTCCACACTTCGCATTTTGAGCTCACAAGGTCAGTTCAGAGCCCCCGGAATTGTCCTTTCTGTTAAATTGTATTGACAAGCTACGAAGGCCTGGAGGGGTGCAAACAAGCATAAATTAAGAAATCTTTAATCTTACAGTACAGCACATGCAATCCTCAGCTCATCTGCCATAGCATTGCAAACTTGTGAGAAAAAACCCTTTGACCCATGTACAATATTATATTAATATATATGACTATTAAGCTGATTGGTCCTCTCTTTTTCACTTTTTTCTTCTCACTGACCGGTAGAGAATAGATGCATGTGAAAATTCATATTGTCCACGAGTGCGGTAGAAACGCCTGTCCAATACAAAGGCCAACATTTTGCCCAATATGATTTATGGATATTGGTCATCTGCCCCTTATGGACGAAAACCAATAGTTTTTTCTATCATTGCATTTCTTTTGTTTGAACAGTTTTATCACTGATCTGTGTTGGCAAATTCAACGGTTGGATCAAAAAATATACTAAAGGCACCCGTAAAAAATCTTTTATCAGCTGTAGTTGCAGTACTTACAGTATGGTATGTTACAAAGCAAGACAACTTTTTACTTTTACAAAGTGGCACATCTTCTTTACAGCAGGTTTGTCTTCCGTGGTTTTAGCAGTACAGGTTTTGTTGTTTTAGAATCATATATGAGACATAAAGAAGAGAATGGCTACTTATGTATCCGAACATATACACCCGGATTATTGTTAATTTCCTGTTGTCCTGTGGTTTGAAGTTTTCATTTTTGGTCCTGTAGCAGCTTCTAACACACCACAACTTGAACGGTTGGATCTGAAATCTTCCTTATGTGTGCAGTAAGTGATTTGTGCCAATAAATGCACAAATTGCAGTTATCTCTGCTTTAAGTTCCGTCACTGTGGCAGTGTGGCCTCAGAAAGAGGTGTGATATGATCCCGCAGAACCCAGTGTGTGACAACCACATTCTCATAGACCTGTCACTCTAAACACTTAATGAGCTTAAATGGGGAAGATAGGGGGAGAGGAATCACCCTTTTGTCAAGCTATTATCCCTGAGAGCTTTGGAGAGTAAGTGGGGAGACGCACACTTGTCCTAATGGAAGATCCCCAGATGAGAGACTGCTACTGTACTGTAAGTCAGTACACCTCAGAGTGACAAAATACTGACGCAAGAGGCAGCGACTGGCTGAAATAGTCTCATTGTAGCACAAAAGTAAAAGCATTTGAAACTATTTCTGGCCTCTCTTCGATGAATCGTTACGGTTCATCAAATCCATGTGTTTAATGTGATGCAATGTCTGTGGAGTAGATCACTTCTGAGAAAGCTTGCAAGGCTTTTTTCACATCTCCTAACCTCCGGAAGGACAGTATCAAGAAATTGGCATATTTTAAGATTTTCAGAATTCAAAAGTGTAGCCCTGACTAATAATTATTTGCCTTGTTTACATCAGAAAAGTATTATAATACTTTACAGTGGTGTCCCCCAGGGATCAATACTGGGGCCCATGTTTTTTGCAGTCGATGCTTCAATTACTCAAATTAGTGAATTAGTTTAGGTAAGCAAAGTTATATGGATACTATTGGACCGGTATAAGCTAAATACTGCTTCAAGGATGTGCTATTATTGAATTTGCATAGTTATCTATCTTGAGAATGTTTATTAATTTACCAGGGACTGCTGGTGGAAAGTAGCTGTCTAGCTATAATCTGGTGCAGAACATTCAGTCTTCGAGCTTAATGTCTCTGTACATTGTCCCTTCAAATAAAGACTAAACTAAACTAAACTAATTTGTATTTAACTGAACTGAACTAATAGCAGCAGGTTTCGCATGTCGAAGAGGCTGAGGTTGTAAGAGACTAAATCAATTGTCATTTATCACTGTTGTGACCCCTTGACAAAAAACAAGAATGATGAAAGAATAGAGCAGTATTTTAAGAAACATTACCACAGAGCCACTGTGTATTGTCACAGTTTCGTCAAGGTACAGTCTTTGTACAATAGCGAACTGAGAAGCTGACGCAAAATCATGGACAAGCCCTGAAATCAAACTCCATCCCTGACGCCTGCAGGCTTTTGTCATTTCTTTTTTGGTTCATTCACTACACCCTGACACAATGGTTTCCTCTGCGCTGGTTGCAGATATGTAAAATGCATGGACAGAAGAGAAGGATTATGTAATTAGGGTGTTGTTGTATTGATACAGACTGGGAGATAACAGGAGCAGTTGGTACACACACACATACACACACACACACTCACACATACTCTGAAGGCACAGGATAATTGGCAGCTGAGCACATGCCCCCTTTGGCTCCTCATTAGCAGCCATAGACCGAATATTCTCTGTGCATTCTTCCCATAGCTGCATGAAGCATAGGACATGCGTCTAATCAAAATGCACACCACGCCATATCTGTGTTTGATGTGATTCTACAAAGCTGAGTATTGTAGTTGAAATATGGACCATATCGAAGCATTACAGTTGTTCCTCTCATGTTTGTGTTATTGTCGCAGAAAACAAGACGAACCGAACAAGACACCAAATGCCCTTACTGTCTTAAGTGATTAGACAATGTGACAAGAGTGGAAAGTATATAAGGGCAGGTTTCATCCGCATTGTGTTTTCAAGTAAGAAAAATGTGTCCAATGTGTCTGTTTGGTGTATACAAATCATTGGAAAGAATATATCTCAATTGTAAGCGTTGAGAATATCCAAACCATTTATAACTCTGTCTTGGATGCTGAGGCCATAACTACCGTATATACAGCCTCACTATAGAAGCAAGTTTATGTTCCAATTGTGCTATAGTATTGTCTTGAAAAGGTAGCGATACCATCAATCGTTCCAAACCAAATTGCTCCTAAGGGTGAGGAATCTTGAGTTGTTTTACGGTTGAAAATAACCATGTGAGAATAAGGTCTCTTATTGCTGTAGTTTTACATCCACAGAAAGACGAGACCATGTGAGTCTCAAGCCCTGTCTATGCGGTTTGATTGTAAGGTGCACCTTAACTGACTAAGCTATGCTCTTTCAAGGTTTTTTTTGGCCAATGAAAGCCAGTATGCAAATAAAATGTGTCCCGAATCATTATGAAACTCAACATACATACATTTAAAGCCACATATACTGCTTTCCCCACTAGGATTAGGGATGAAAACCTAGACCACTTTCTATGTATTTTTGAAAGCAAGATTTCTTCATTGTTTTACTGATGGTGAAGAAATGTAATGTACAGTGCAATATGTGCTAATCATTCTCATCAGAAAACTAACTTTGTATTATCACCTCATCTCAGGTCTGATGAGGTCGTAAAACACTGACTCTTATGGAGCCAGTAGTCCCAAAATGAATAAGGCCAAGGTTGGGACATTGATTTTCGGAGCTTGCGCCATCAAGGGCAGCTCTGCAGTTGTTTGTTATGTGTCCGGGCCGGCTGTGAGATGCACTTCGTAGTCACGGCGTTTCAAACCTCTCATGACCTTTCCAAGCTAAGTCTCCTTGTGCTGTGCGAGACTTGCTGTATGCCAAACTATAGAGCGGAATGAGGAGTCATAGTTTTTAAAGAATAAAAAAGTAGTATTTGACAAATTGTTTTTTTATTGTTGACCCACATGACCAATGTGTGTACATTAAAGAGCTGATAGGGAAGATGAGGGTCAGAAAAAACAAAAAAATGCATGTTCTAGTGTTACATACATTTTTTCTACGGATCCTCGAAGAGCACCTGATTTCTTTGTCTGGCATTTTTTTATGCATTTGCCACTTTTGTAGTTTCATAATATCTCTACTTGTGGCAAGAGTTTATACAGGCCTAACATTTCAACTGTATTTTGAGTCCGTACCTGTGACCCCTGCAAGTGGGAACTCAACTAAACACAGGCTTGCCAGCTTTATGTAATGACTTAAAGTGATTGTCTGCAGTTTGTCAAAAAGAGAGAGAGAGAGGTACTTGATTTTTTTTTTTAAACGACGCAAGCTCCCTCCCCTTTCCTTTCTGATTGGTCTACGCCTACGTTTCCGTAACACATTTAAATGTTAATCAGAGAACACATTATACATATACATTATTAATACACATGCACGGAGGTTTTCAGAATTATTTGTTAACGTTTTCATGAAAAAAATATTTTCTTAATGCACAAAAAAAAAGGTCAATTTACTACAATTCTTAAAATTTGTCATTAATTTAGAGTTACAGACTATCACTTTAAATAACTGCTGAATATGTTCATCCATACGATTGTATGTACCCAGCTTGGTTAAGAAAATCAGCTTAATGTGGGTCTAAAAAGTGTATGAAGTTGGTGACAGGCCCTAGGTTAGCTGCAAGACTTGTTTCTTTGAGACCTTTCCCAAACATAGTCGTCAAACAAAAACCTGGTCGACATACAAACTTCAGAAAGCAGAGATAAGAAAGCAATGTGTTTATTCTTCTGGCTGGAGGAAAAAAAGGCAATGACAAGAAAATGGCTCAAACCTGTGCCACCAACAAGTGAGGACAAGATCAATGTCAGACTTTACTGAAATTTCAACTCCCCTTTTTTACTAACATCGAATGAATGGCATATGCAAAACCTCTGAGAAGTTCATTTTGTATACATGTTTGAATATTGCAGCAAGAGGTTCCCCCCATTCCCGTTGACGGTTTTGTTTAATGTTTGTAAAATCACACAGATTTTACGATTTTAAGGACCTATTGCTATTCACCCGCTGTCCCATTGTCTGTTCCATGGTACGATGACGGGACCTCTGGACCTGGCCTCCTCCATCTACACCTGCGGACTGCCCTGCCTGACCCGCCTGGGAGTTCTTCAGTCCTGCACCGGACCTGTCCACATTCAGTGGCCGCTGGTCCACGTTCTGTAGCTGGTCCTGGATCTATAGCCCGTCCGTCCGTGGGAGCGGATCCCTTTCTCAAACTGTAAAAAAAAGGGTCTCCCCGAGGTTTCTCACCTTTTCCCACTGAGTTTTTCCTTGCCGATGCAGGAGGGTCTGTTGGGCAGTTAATGTCCAACTAGAAGGATGTGGTGATGATCCAGGACACTTTGACATTCTACAAAATGTATGGACATTTATCAACATGTGATCTATATTCTTTATGTGTTTTAACTGTTGATTCTCTGATCTGTGTTAGAGATTTCTTTGATTTTGTTAAGTCTCTGAGACTGTGATTTAGGGCTATACAAGAATAAATTGCATTGTATTGTATTGTATTGATCTGCAACACTTTTCGGCACATCCACTCGTTGCCTATAGGAGCCTAAACTTTTTCTTAGCTCCATCTTAAAGGTCTTATATATTCAAGTCATAAAAGCTCATAACTTCCATGACACTGTCTGGTTCATTTGTTTCAGCGTTGGCCCGTGTGCAGAGTGGAGCAGACAGCTTGTTCAGACACATTGTTTGGAGGCTCCTCGGACACCCACGGAGGCCAACAGTGACCCCGCAACTTCAGCTTTTGTGACGCACACACATACCACAATACCAAGCAGCAGATCAAAAGAGACAGGGCATTCCAGCTCTTATTTTCTGTCCTGTTGAAGAGTAAAAAATATGGATTTATTAATGCAGCTCTTAACACCTTCAGGCTTGTTACTCATCGCACAAAGCTGTATGAAGTTGAGAGATGTTTTTCATTTTATTTTTTTAAACATAGTGAGCCATCCTGAAAAGATATTGTTCAATTGTGTTTGAAGAAAATTAGAATATCACATTGTTGATGAAGTTTCGTAATTTGTTCTATGTTTAATTGACAAGGGCTGTCTAAAAATGGAATATACATATGAAAGAGTAAGGATGAGCACCAATATATCATTTATTTGCCCTCTTAGCAAGAAAACCACTCAAACCTGAGGCACCAACAACTGAGGATCAACAGGATCTACGTCATACATTTTAAGTGCACAGCCAAATCCGGAATACCTATTTCCATTTAGTTTGGAAGAGTTCTCAACCACATCATCCAAACCAAGTGCAAAGAAAATGAGTTGGGGTTAAAGTAACCAAACTCTGTGTATGGCTTATGAGCACTTTTAAGTTTTGAACCTATGATTACTGTTGAAAATGAACAAACATTATTATAATTCAAAAGTAAAAAATAAGACATTGCCTGCTATCATCCAGTAATTTACAGTGCAAGATCACTGTTACAAGTTAATCCCAAACCCTAAATCTATAGTCCTGACCATTACCCAACCATATTTTCTCACTAACCAAAAGAAACATTGATCCTGGGCAACTTTGACATTGATCCTGGACAGTTGATTACTTGGTGATATCTGATCATTCATTGCCAACATAGTGGCACTCTTGCTTCAAATCAAGACAGCTGTGGATTGATTTTTGGGTCAGTTTATTGAAAATTTCTAGATATACAATGCTCCAACCCATTGCCTCTGCTGGTTTGCTGTGACGTCTTCTGAACCAAAATAACAATTTCCTAATGTTCCCACATAAATGATCATAGTTTACGGCTTGCTAACGTCTCCCAAAAAGTCCAAAGTGAAGCAAAACCTTATTGGTATTCCTCCAGCAGCGTGCTAAAGATGAGAAAACACAGTGTTTGCAGTTGTCAGAAGGTGCTAATCCTCCAACGCCAGATCTGGCTGAGGCGGAATGACACAGGGGAATTAAAGTACAGATCCAGAATCTTAAATGTCACATTGAAGATATCACTGCTCCATCTTCTTCCTCTCAGGCCTTCACACCGCAAATGTTATCTTCTGACACATACGCTGGCATCCAGAGACGAGCAGGTGAGAATGAAGGAAAAACACCTCTATGGGAAGTGGGATTTCTGTATGTAACACATTATTTTAATAGATTTGTGAAATGAGGGAAAAGGCGCATTATTGCCTGCAAATGGGAAGATTCCAGATGGCTCCTGTGTGTTATATACATATGCAGCTCTACATTGTTCAGTTATTTAGAAGGACCTAATAGCTTTTCTTTATTTCTTACTTTAAACTAAAGAACATTAATTTAAGTTGTGTCCTTTACTGTTCTGGACATGCACTTGTGTGTGTGTGCGTGCGCGTGCATGTGTGTGTTAGCAGGTCCAGGGAAATCCCCTCTCGTCTCAGACGTGTGCAGAGAGCAGTTGTAAAGATCTAGTCTCTTTGACATTTCAGGCCTGACTCTGTCCTCTCTCCTCTGTCCTTTCTCCTCTGTCCTTTCTCCTCTGTCCTCTCTCCTCTGTCCTCTCTCCTCTGTCCTCTCTCCTCTGTCCTCTCTCCTCTGTCCTTTCTCCTCTGTCCTCTCTCCTCTGTCCTTTCTCCTCTGTCCTCTCTCCTCTGTCCTTTCTCCTCTGTCCTCTCTCCTCTGTCCTCTCTCCTCTGTCCTCTATTCTCTGTCCTCTCAGCTCTGCGCTCTGTCCTTTCTCCTCTGTCCTCTATCCTCTATCATCTGTCCTCTCTGTCCTCTGTCCTTTCTCCTCTGTCTTCTCAGCTCTTTCCTCTGTCCTCTCTCCTCTGTCCGCTCTCCCCTGTCCTCACTGTCCTTTCTCCTCTGTCCTCTGTCCTTTCTCCTCTGTCCTTTCTCCTCTGTCCTCACTGTCCTTTGTCCTCTGTCCTCTCTCCTCTGTCCTTTCTCCTCTGTCCTTTCTCCTCTGTCCGCTCTCCTCTGTCCTCTCTCCTCTGTCCTTTCTCATCTATCCGCTCTCCTCTGTCCTCTCTCCTCTGTCCTTTCTCCTCTGTCCTCTGTCCTTTCTCCTCTGTCCTCACTGTCCTTTCTCCTCTGTCCTCACTGTCCTTTCTCCTCTGTCCTCTCTCCTCCGTCCTTTCTCCTCTGTCCTCTGTCCTTTCTCCTCTGTCCTCACTGTCCTTTCTCCTCTGTCCTCTCTCCTCGGTCCTTTCTCCTCTGTCCTTTCTCATCTGTCCGCTCTCCTCTGTCCTCTCTCCTCCGTCCTCTCTCCCCTGTCCTCACTGTCCTTTCTCCTCTGTCTTCTATCCTCTGTCCTCTCAGCTCTGTCCTCTATCCTCTCTGTCCTCTGTCCTCTAACCAGCTGCAGCCCTGAATGGAAACACAGTAAGACCATGTGACGCAGCCACAAGTCAATCAGAGAAAACTACTTACTGTATTCCCTCCACATGCTCCGAGTGTTTACAGCCTCATGTAGTCCCGGGACGGTCAGAGTCCTGGGGAGAGTTTTCCATGAGATCAACCCGGAGAGGGGAGTCACTGGAGCCACGTCTGCCCCCGTCATGGAGCCGGGGGCAGGGTCAGCTAAAGGCAAGAACAATGGTTCACCTGGGGAAGGCAACATGGACTAAATTGATCCCAATAACTCAATGACAATATTTATACTGTGAATGTTAAGTCTATTTCATCTGTGTTGTGTGTGAAACATTCTGATGTGAATAACTGTGATATCTATATAACTCTAAACTGTGGCTCACTTACTTGACTTCCTGCCATCTTCAAGGAGGATCTGCTGGACAGCCTCCATAAGGGCTGTTCCCTGGACACAGTGCAGCGAGTGGGGGAGAGGATGGTCCTGGACAAACTAACATCTATGCTGGACCATGACTGTCACCCCCTGCAGGACACTCTGGAGAGCAGTTTTAGTGACAGACTATTTCACCCTCGCTGTGTGAAGGAGAGGTTCCGTAGGTCTTTCCTTCCTGCTGCTGTCAGACTGTACAATAAGTACTGCTGAGCCTGTTAATTTCATTCATCTGTAAATAAGTAAATTCTTAAATTATGTGCAATGTGCAATACTGCAACTTCAGAATGTCACAGAACAATGTCACTTTACCTAATGTCACTTTACTTATCTACTTATTATCCTGCACTATTTAACTGTACAGTATATAACTGGTTTGACTGGTATTGAAGCATTTTCAGCATCTGCGGCAGCACTGAAAACTGCTTTGGTTTCTCCGCCATTGTTTTGGAGAGTGCGTATGCACACACATAGAGAAACTTCACTTATACTGTTCTCTCTCCTGATTGGATAAGAATTTTTAAAAATACGCCTGAGAGCAGAGTGAAGTGACTGAAAGATCCGTGTTTCATTCCAAACACGAGTTTTGGACCGAAACACTAGTGATGGCTACCGGAAGATATAACTATTTAAGACTTACATTAACACAACAGAATTGCCTACTTCTGCTTTAACTAAACAGACAACAACACGTTTATTGTTTATTTTATTTATGTATTTATTTTTTATTTAACATATTTTTGTATTGCAGTGGGGTATGGGGGTGGGGGAGGGGGAGTTGAAGTAGCTCAGTGCTACTCCCACTTCTGTTGAAAGTCTACGGCAGTATCTTTGTCTCAGGATCACATGGTCAACAGCAGCTGAACCCTATGGAGCCAGATCTTATTGTGTTTCAGTCTCAGCGATTCAGGTGCGTTCATAAAGTGCCTGTCATGACACCAAAGTGCTAGCGGTGCGCACAGACTGTTGCATTAAACCTGAACTACAGCTTCACATTTCATGCGGCACCTGCCACTCACACATGCACAACATTCACACAAGGCAAAGCGGGTAAAGTGTCTTGCCTAAGGACACAACGACAGTTTAGAGTCGCCCCACAGTAGCACCTGGTGTTCCCAGCAGTCTCCATCACAGCAGTACCCAGGCCTCACACCATGAGACCAGTGTACTAGCTGTTAGCTTTAGCATCATGACAGACCAATGCACCAAATCTACTGGTTTTGTGAAACACAAAGGTTTAAGTTCGAAATAATGCTGTTCTCCCTGTGATATTTGAGAGGTTTTGTGTCTGTTTGGGGAAGTGGGAGTGTTTTAGTTTGAGTTTATTTTAGTTCATTCACGATTTCACACAGTCACTAAACAGTTCATGTGATAAATTATTAGAATGGAACTTTCAGAAGCTGCTAGCTCATTCAGTAGGGCTCAATCTGTTGTCATTGTGAAAACAGTCAGATTTTAGGGAATGGGAATTGAGAGTTGGGAAGGGGTGGTGGGAATGAGGGGGAAGGGTGAGGGTATAGGTGTGTACCTCTTAACACCTGGACATGTCTTTGTCTTCTTTAAGTTTGACCTGTGGCAGCTGGGCTGACCTAAACACCAAATCTTTTTGTCTTCTGTTTTTCGCTCTAGTCTGAGTCTTCGCTTTTCTTTCCGTCAGATCGCTGTCTTTCAGCTCGATCTGCTTCCTCAGCTGTTGGATGTTGTGTTCAGAGGTCCTCTTGGCGTCCTCCACAGCCTCCTCACACACCACCTCGAGCGCCTTGACCTCCTTCACGTACTTATTCCTGGCCGCGGTGAGTTTTTTTTCTGACGCAGCATGTGCGTTTCTCAACTTCTGTTCCTGATCCAGTATTTGAGTCTGGAGCTGTCTATTCTCAGCTTTGAGTTTGGCCTTCTCCTCCTCCATCTCTGCAATAACAGAGTTTTTCATGAGGATATTGGCGCTACACTCCTCTAACTCTTTCCGGGTGTTTGCCGGATTTTCCTCCAGCGTCTTACGCTCCGACTCTCGCTCTTGCATCTGCTCGTCGATGCAGCTGTTGGCGTCTAGTACAGGAAAGTTGAGGAGGTCAATGGTCTCATTGTATTCTGCCTTCACTTGTGAAAGCGCTCTCTCCAGGCGGTCTACGGTCTCCAGTCTCTCCGCCCTCACCAATGCTAGCTCTTGCTCCTGTAGGTCTATGGTTTCCTGGTTCTCGGATTTCATTTTTGCCAGCTCTATCTGCAGGCAAACTATGGTTTCCTGGTTCTCTGCCTTCACTTGTGTACGCTCTCTCTCCAGGCGGTCTATGGTCTCCAGTCTCTCCGCCCTCACCATTGCCAGCTCTTGTTCCTGTAGGTCTATGGTTTCGTTGTTCTCAGACTTTGTTTTTGCCAGCTCTCTCTGCAGGCAAACTATGTCTTCCTGGTTCGCCGGTTTCATTTGTGGAAGTTCTCTCTTCAGGCGGTCTATGGTCACCAGTCTCTCCACCCTCTCCATTGCCAGCTCTCTCTGCAGGCATACTATGGCTTCCTGGTTCGCCGGCTTAATTTGTGCAAGTTCTCCCTTCAGGCGGTCTATGGTCACCAGTCTCTCTACCCTCTCCATTTCCAGCTCTTGCTTCTGTAGGTATATAGTCTCCTGGTTATCTTTCTTTGTTTTTGCCAGCTCTCTCTGCAGGCAAACTATGGTTTCCTGGTTCGCTGACTTCACTTGTGCAAGTTGACACTGCAGGTGGTGTATGGTCTCCAGTCTCTCCGCCCTCACCATTGCCAGCTCTCTACCCTGGAGGTCTATGGTCTCCTGGTTCTCTGGCTTCACTTGTACAAGCTCTCTCTGCATGCGGTTTATAGTCTCCATTCTTTCCTCCCTGACCATTGCCAGCTCTTGCTCCTGGAGGTCTATGGTGTCCTCGTTCTCCTGTTTCTCCGCCTTCACTTGTGTAAGCTCTTTTTGCAGGCGGTCTATGGTCTCCAGTCTCTCCGCCCTCACCATTACCAGCTCCTGCTCCTGGAGGTCTATAGTCTCCTGGTCTTCAGCCTTCACTTGTGCAAGCTCTCTCTGCAGGCGGGTTATGGTCTCCAGTCTCTCTGCCCTCACCATTGCCAGCTCTTGCTCCTGGAGGTCTACCGTGTCCTGGTTCTCCGCCTTCACTTTGGCCAGCTCTCTCTGCAGGTGGTCTATGGTGTCCTGGTTCTCCGCCTTCACTTTGGCCAGCTCTCTCTGCAGGTGGTCTATGGTCTCCTGGTTCTCTTCCTTCACCAGTGCCAGCGCTCTTTCCTGAAGGTCTATGGTCCCCTGGTTATCCTGGTTCTCTGCCTTCACCAGTGCCAGCTCTCTCTGCAGGTCTGTGTTTACTGCGTCCTTCTGTCTGACCTGCTCTTCGAAGGTCTCTACTGAAGCAGCCGCGGCCTCCTTCACAGACTGAAATTCATGCTTCATGACCTGCTTCTGGTCTTGCAACTCAGAGATGATTGACCGGTAGCTTCTGGCCTCTTCTGCAGACTTCTCACACGCTGCGTTCAGGGCCTCCATCTCCTGCTGAGCCTGCTGCAAAGTTGCCTGCAGCTGTCGAATCTCTTCCTGATGAGTGTCTTCCAGCTCTCTCCTCTGCTGCTGCTCCCTCTGCTGATCCTTCAACAGCCTCTGGTGCTGTTCCACCGACACCAGCAGGTTGTCCTCCAGCTCTTCTATAATCGTATCCTCCTCGGATCTCCGTCTAATGCACCACATTGTGTTCAGTTGTGTTTTCCTCAAATTTACCTCAACTTGGTCTGGGGCTTTCTCTGCCTGGGACGGACTCAGACACACACACAAAGGCTGTATCCGAATGTCCACACTATACCCTATATAGTGCACTATATAGTGGTCACGCCATTTTGTAGGGGTGTCCGAATGTCCAGAGAGAAAAAGTAGTGCACTGGAATTTTCCCACAATGCATCTCGAACATGTAGTGAGCAGCGATGGTCACTAGACGGAAGTAAAATGGCGGAGGCACAGAGAGACGAGCTGGACGCGGAGCGGGACATGAGCTCCAAATGTGAGTTTTTAATCATCATAAATATGTAAATGTGTAAACCGTGATATATTGTTGACGATAAGCTGCCAAAATACACATTTGAATACCATTGCCTTTTACTGCAAAACAACGTACCAATGTTATGCCGCGAAAGTGTTAGCATTTTCGCATATCATAACATTAACATATGGAGCTTTCGCGAAAGTTCACCGTGGTAGACCCGGCTGTTGCTGCCAGGCCACAGGCTGCTCGTCCTCGACTCATCAATACCAGCAAACGCCCACACCCAGTCAACCAATAACCACCAGGACAGCAAGTTAAAAGCCGGAGACGCCCACTTCCCGATCTTCTGAAGTCTGCAAGCCGCCGCCGCCCCCCCACCTCCTCCTTCTCGCATGAAGCGTGTTGCCTACTGCCTCTGCCGTCACCAGTGCCTAGGCCCCGGGGGGATCATGCACGCGAGCAAGCGCCGTGCTCAACAGCATCCCGCCCGGGCCTAGGGCGCCAAACATGCTCAATCAATAAACATGCTTAAATCTAATAAGTCTAATGCGTT